CTGACACTTGGCACCGCTACATCTATCACCACCACTGTCTATATGTGTGTGTGTGTGTGTGTGTGTGTGTGTATTTTATATACAGTTATTTTTTCAGTTGCATAAAAATATATAACCTCAATGGGTTTTTTTATATAATTTTGGGAGTTTATAAACATAAAGTAGGTTATGCACTTCTTTTGAAAATTGCTGCTGCTGTTCAGAAACCATAATGACTTGTGCTCCTGCTTCCTTGGTTTAGAGCAGAGTTTCTCAAACTGTGAGGTGAACCTCCCTTGGGGAGATGCAGACAGAGTCCGGGGAGGTGTGAAGAATCTTTTAGTTGTACATTGTTACAATAAATCCACCTTTCCCAAAGTTTCATTGTATTGTTTGTTACAATAAATCCACCTTTCCCAAAGTTTCATTGTATTGTTTGTTACAATAAATCCACCTTTCCCAAAGTTTCATTGTATTGTTTGTTACAATAAATCCACCTTTCCCAAAGTTTCATTGTATTGTTTTCACTGTTCATTTGTGTTAGTTTGGGTGTTTGCATTTTTAGGGGAGGTGTGGACATTAAGATTATACTAAAGAGAAATGTGATGGCAAAAAATTTAGGAACCCCTGCTTTAGAAGGAACATTGGTGTTGGGTTGTTTATGGTTCAGTGTGTTGTGGGAATCGAGCTACTGTCTTAGCATGTTGTGTGAACCTGGCTATTAGGGTAAGCCATGGTAAGGTTTATTTTATGAACCTAGCTCTTCAGTCTTCAATGGGCTGTCCTTGGGATTTGCTGCTCTCAAAGGGGTTTTCCCCTTAAAATTATTGCTTTTGCTCAACGTGGTTTGAAACTTCCCTCTTAAGGGCAGATGGTACTTTGAGGGCTCTAGGTCTACATCTGGAGAAAGAATTATTAGTATGTCAGATGTTCTCACCCCTATATTCCTTTGACATCTTTTTAAAGAGGCAAATAAGATAGTTGCGATGCTTACCTTTACACCCAGCTCCCCCTTTTCTCCCTGCAAAGCAAAAAGCAAAGCAAAGCAGAGCAAAGCAAAGCTTTTCAGTATAGCATAATCTAACACACAACAAAATCTAACACACAATCAATCCAACATTCAGAAAAATTAATTATCCACCTAACTGCTGTTTGTAGCAAAAGAAAGGAGCTAAGGAAGTATCTGCTAATGCAGCTTTTCCTAGTGCGGAACTTTCTAGATGTGTTGTACTCTAGTTCCCATCAATTATCATCATTAGCAAAACAGTGGCTGGCTAGGGGTGATGGGAGTTGTAATCCAACAGTGGGAGTGCTTCATGTCAGGAAAGGGAGCATTAAATAATAAATGAATGCAAGCATCTCCCATGAACCACAGTCCACATCTGCTTCCCATAAAGTTCACTTTGGCTCCAGAGCAACAAAAAAATGTCAGTGGTCAGGATTAGGAGGAGACAATTGGAAGGAGACAAGAGAAAATGCATTTTTTATCACCTCTAGAAGAAGCTGCCCTTCCTCCTGATCTCACACATTCCTGTGTTTACCCCCAAATGCACTTTACTCTTGGACAATCTTTCTGTCCTTTGCTTGGAAAAGCAAAAGTCTGACTACTTTAGATTTATGCCTTCCTCGTAAGATTTTACCATTATTCAGAGAACAGAAGTAGGTGGCTATTTCCTTTCTCTTTAGGCTTTTACTCAGGATCACCAGGGGACTACAGGCACTATAAGTTTTCGCTCTGAAATGCCTTGTTTCCCATGCTGGCCTCGTTTCTTCCCCCCACCCCCTGAAGTTTGTTATAGAAGATCCTCCCAAATTCATCAAACAAATGTTAACTGGTGAAAGTTCATTTCACTGCCCATCCGGAATCACCATTTTCTTTGTGCAGGTGGGATATCTGGTGGGGGCAAGACTCGAGATAGAGAGGGAGGGTGAAGGGGACAATCAGAAGATTTTAATAAAGGAAAGGGAAGGGGGAGAGGGCCTTCTACTCCTTCCTTCAGTAAGCTTGATCACCACACCGTTGCCTTTCGGTAAAAAACAAGGAAGGAGAGCAAGCTATGCATTGCTACTTCACCTTTTCTCCTTTGTCACCATTTGTTGACAAAATCCCAGGCCCAGGGTCTCCTTTGGGGCCACGTTGCCCTTTTTCTCCAGGGTCTCCCTTTTCACCTTTGGTTCCAGCTACAAGGGGAAAGAAAAGGAATTGTGCAGAGTTCTCTGTTTCATGCAAAACAGGAGCCTGGAAACCAGAATGCTTAGTGTTCAGGGTTAGGACAAAAATTAAAAGGAATAGGCAACTGGATTGATGAAAGATTACTATTGTGAATTATGTTTCAGGGAGATTATCTAGTACAGTGTTTCTCAACCTCAGCGACTTTAAGGTGTGTGGACTTCAACCCCCAGAATTCCTCAGCCAGCATGTAAGTGGCATGTTGGCTGGGGAATTCTGGGAGTTGAAGTCCACGCATCTTAAAGTTGCTGAGATTGAGAAACACTGTACTAGTACATAATTATACTATTGGCATACATGGCATATAAAAGTATTTTTTTCATGAAATTAATGCATTAATTAAAAAAAATACTCCAGGGACTATTGATGCCTTTCTAACATACTCTTAACATGAGGCCATCAATTTCCATAGCCCTACTTAGCTCACATCACAACATCACTGAGAGCTATAATAATTGTGACATAAAAAAGGGCCACCAGTTACCTTCAGCTACTATTAAAAAATTTTTATTTTTTGGTAGCTTCACATTTGAAATTACATACTAATAAATTGGTTGCTAGTTCAACTGTGAAACTAGACTCTTCTCCCGTCTCAGGTGATGCATTCATTTACATACTTTTTCCTACTTAAAACAAGGTGCAGAATTCTTTACCTTACTCTGCCTTCTATATTTCTGCTTGCTCTATACAAGCTTAACACGAAGAACATGTGAGATTCTGATTACTTTTCTACTCATATCTGCACAACTGTGCCACCACATTCCCCATTTTTAATTTTTTTATACTTTTGTTTTGATTTAAAACAAAGATATATTTCCAAAAAAAGATAGTATCTATAGATGGGCAGATAATTACCAAAGTTGTACAATTAATGTTCAATATAACATTAGAAAGAGATACCAAGCAGAGCACACTGAGTTGTTTTCATGAAGTTGATACCAGAAAGAAAGAAAGAAAGATACCAAGCAGATACCAGAAAGAAAGAGATACCAAGCAGGGCACACTGAGTTGTTTTCAGCTGCCCAGAGTCCCTCATTAGGGGGAGATGGGCGAGATAAATTTGATGTCATCATCATCATCATCCTGCATCTTACACCCTGCCACTATGTGTTGGACTGTCTCTGAGGCCTCTTTGCACAACCTGCACCTTGGATCCTGTCTAGT